AGTGACTTCTGAATGGAGGTCACACAGAGTTGTGGTATGCTAGATCCTGTTCTGTCTCTGTTCCCTCTGGGACTGAGGGCAAGCTCAGTGTCCCCAAGACCCCAAGCACAGCCACGCTTCCCAGAGAAGCACTTCCTGGGACCCATGGCTGGGGACCTGCATGCCCTCTGGGGTCTGTGCAGCAGCTGTCTGAAGTGGCCCTGACACCTATTCCTGTTAATTAAAAAAAAAAAAAAGTGGGGGACAGCTGTGGGCTGGTGTAGGAGATCCAGACTCCAGGGGTACCTGTCTTCAGTTCAGGGAGCCCCGTTTTAGTATACCTAGGGGTTCATAGATGCCCTCTACCCCCAGGGTGGCCAAGTCTCCAGTTTCTAGGACTCAGGTCACACTGATACAGTTAGTTGAGGACTTGAGCACCTCTGTGTCCTGCACCTCCCACTTTGAGGCTGGGGACTCTGAGGTGACAGGCTGACTGGCTGGGCAGCAGGTGGCACTCTTGGCCGCCCAGTGCTCAGCTTTAGCTTGGTGTGGGCTTTAGACCGCTGTCTTCCCAGTCCTGTGCCAGCACAGGGTACTCCACGGGCCGCCCCCTCCCTCTTTCCCTAATTCCCCTGCTGTCGTTGCAGGCAAGAAGGTTCACTTCCGGAAGCCAGCCCCAGGGGCGACAGATGCAGTGCCTTCCCGGAAGCGTGCCACTCCCATCAACCTGGCAAGTGCTATCAGGAAGAGTGGTGTAAGCGGGGCCAGCGGGGTGTCCCAGAGGCCTTTCCGTGACCGGGTGCTGCACCTCCTGGCCCTGAGGCCCTACCGGAAGGCCGAGCTGCTGCTGAGGCTACAGAAGGACGGCCTGGCGCAGGCGGACAAGGACTCGCTGGATGGCCTGCTCCAGCAGGTGGGGACTGGGGGAGGGGCCGCACAGTCCACCCACCCTGAGGCCATGCGCCACAGTGGCTTCTGCAGTAGATGTCTCATGGGGCCGTCTGAGAAGGGCCCTCCGGGGCCTGCTGGCTCAGAACACACTTAACCTGGGGCAGGTGCCTCCTGTGTGTTGGCTGACGGGCAGCTGCAAGGCCAGGACCAAGCAGCCACGTCTGCTGTTGCGGGGACAGTAGATCTGAAGCCTGGGGCCTCGCAGCCTAGAACTCGGGCTCGCAGGCAGGTGGCCTGTGGACAGCTCCCTGCCACTCAACAGCTGTGAGCCTAGGCAAGGGGCTTCGTACCTGGGACCCCTGGTCCTCACCCGACAGGTCCTCACCCGACAGCGGGGCCAGCTCGGTCCCTCTGGAAGAGAAGGAGGGGAGCCAGCAAAGGCAGTGGTGGCAGTGGATCCTGCTGTTAGCAGCTCACTGAGGCAGTAGTGCTGTGCTCACTGTCATCCCAGGGACTTGGGGGATGATGCAGGAGGATGGAAAGTTTGAGGCCAGCCTGAGCAACCTCCTGGCCCTGAGGCCCTATTGGAAGGCGGAGCTGCTGCTGAGGCTGCTCAAAATGAAATTTTAAAAAAGGACTCGGGGTGGAGCTCAGCTGAGGAGCGCTCGCCTAGCCTATGGGAGGGAGGCCCTGGGTGCCACCCCCAGCACTGCAGACAAACCCCAGCCACTGCCACCCCTCTCATCAGCACTCCCCACACATTTCCGAGGCTCCACCCTGGCTCCCCAGGCCCCTCCCTGGCTCCCCAAGCCTCCCAGGCCCCTGGGAAGCCGAGCACTCCTGAGCTGGCTTCCAGCCCTGAGCCAGGCCTGAGGTGGGGGTGTTCTGCCCAGGAGTGCTGCCATGGAGGTGTGGCCGAGCCTCTTGTCTCAGTGGGTCGCAGCAGGATGTCGAGGGTGTCACCTACCAGCTTGCCCAGTCCCCCTGCAGCTGGGAACACAAGCGGGGCCTCCCGTAGCAGGGAGCACACATCGTGCTGTGTGGTGACATGGCAGCTGGATCTGAGGTGCATTTCCATATCTGCCACGTTCATTGTCTCTGGTGCAGCCCGAGGCCGGTGGGGACCTCAGAGCTCGGCCTCAGGAGGATGTTGGCCTGGCTGCCACCCACCCAGTCCCTACTCCTTATGTGGAACTGAGGGCGACATCTGTGAAAGGTTGGGCTTCAGGGGTGTCCTGAAGGTGCCGCATGGAGGCAGGGAGGGGAGAAGGGGTCTCTGTGGCCCTTCTGTGGACAACTCAGAGCACAGGTACTGGGGACCTGTGGTCAAGTGCTTCCCTCAGCCCTCAACCTAGGGAGGTAGTCCCAGGAGACTGCCCACACCCATACCCCTGACCCCGCATCTCTTGAGAACGCGGCTACCCGAGCTGCTGTCCCTGGAGCGCAGCGGCCTTGCCTGCGGAAACACTGGGATTCGAGCCCTTGGAGGATGCAGCCATAGCCCAGGAGAACAGCTGAAGGCAGAAGGCTGCTGGCAGGGTGGCTTAGCCCTGGCCTGGGGTGGGCACCTGAGCTTAGGCTGGCTCTGCTCCGGGAGCCACAGTCTGAAAGGGAAGGGGACGGGCTGGGGTTGGGTCCCGGAAGCTCACGAGTGTAGATGGTGGCGCTTCCTTTTTGGAGCCAGCCTGGCCCCCAGCATCTGTGAGATAAGTAAATCTGGACCTCACACCCTCAGCCCCTTGTCCCTTATGTGCCTAAAGGTCTAGGGGAGCTGGGAGTAGCAGGTGGCACAGGCAGAGGGGGCCGCCATGTTCTCTCTCCGCTCTGTCTGCCTCCCCCTGTCTCTGCACACCCCCATGCATGTGTTCCGAAGGGCCTGCCTCCCAGGCTCCCTGCACGGTGACGGCTGGCTCTGTGTTGCAGGTGGCCAATGTGAATGCCAAGGATGGCACATGCACACTGAGGGACTGCATGTACAAGGACGTGCAGAAGGACTGGCCTGGCTACTCAGAGGGGGACCAGCAGCTGCTGAAACGAATGCTTGTCCGGTAATGCTTCCTCCCGCCCCCTCCCCGGCACCTCCCAGAGATCTGGGACGACGTCTCATGGTCCCAAAGGCCAGTGGCTCAGGACGGAATCTCCTGGGCACCTTCCCGACTGTCCTCCCTGCTGCCCGCAGTCCCCACAGCCTCTTGCTGGTTGGTGAGGGAGGCAGCACCCTGGGTGGGGGTGTGAGTCACGTCGCCCCAGCCAAGGAGTCCTCAAACCAAAGGCTTCAGTGTGCCCGGATCAGCTGTGACTGTCCCCCCATTTCCCTCCCGGCTCCTTCAGCAGCCAGCATCCCCGGAGGCCACTGCTGAACCTCTCAAGAACCCCAAGCTGAGAGAAATGAGGCAAAGCGTGCTCCCTGCAGATGTGATTAAGCAGCGTTAATTAAACACATCCCCTTTCTGACTAATTGGGCCCTAGGGTCAGGAGCAGAGGGCCCTGGGGAGCTGGGGCTGAGGAGGCGGGCAGCTGTCCCCTGCAGCGCTTCTGCAGGCCTGTGTGCTAATTAGACCTGAGCTGTCTGTGAGTTGGGCGGCTTTAGGTGTTTTTAAGTGTGGCTGTTTGAAGCAGTCATTGTTTCTAGAAAGCCGAGGGGGTTGGGGATCATTCCACATGAACCCCAGAGACCAGCAGCAGCGCTTCCCCTCCTTGCCCCTGCGGTGTCCCTTCCTGAAGCTGGTCGTGGTCCTCGGGTGAGCTGGCCAACTGGAGCCCAAGTGTACAGTGGTGGGTCCTGGGTGCTCAGGAGAGGCTGGCAGAGGACATAGTCTTGGCAGAAGCCCCCCTGCCACCGTCCACACCTGGGAGGTCCCCTGCTACTCCAACCAACCTTGTCCCTGGGCAGCACTGTATCCTCCTTCCTCCAGCTGTTTCCACCCGCCACACACTTGGGCAAAGGACCGAACATTGTACCATCAATGACATTGACCCATGTGCTTGGAAGTGCAAGGCTGCACCCAGCCTGCCCCTCCCTTGGGGCCCCCTCCACAGTGCTTGCACCCCAGGGGTTTGTCCCAACCCAGGCAGGGGAGCTGCGAGGAGCGAACCCCAGGCCTGTATGGGTCAGTGGGAAGCAGCATCTGGGCGTCAGGCAGGGTGTCACAGCATGCCTGCCCCATCCACCCTGCTCACCTCCATCTGAGGTGGTTTCCTTGGTGAGCCGCTGGCCTGCGGGAGCCCATGGGCAGTCAGCCCTCGATGGGGGCTGGCTGTGGATCAGTGGCCACTGGTGTATGGAAAGAGCGAGCGTCAGTGTCCCAGCCCGTGGCTGTGCAGAGACGCCCCGCAGAGGCAGTGTTCGAAGTCAAGGCCTCACTTAGACCAGAGTGTTTCCTTTGTTACAGGGAAGGCTAGGCCTGTGCAGGTCACAAAACAGGCAGGGTGTGGGGACCAGCTCACTGCAGGTGGCCCGCAGCAGAGCCCTGTGCCATGCCTCGGCTGCACTGGTGGTTGTCTGCACCCTCTTCTCAGTCCAGCAGCTCGAGCCATTTTTGGTTGTCCACTCCCCAGGCCTCTTGTCCCTGTTGGGAGGTCCGGAGACCTGCACGTGCCCTCAGGAACCGACTCCACCAGAACCACCCAGTGCTGGGGCCTCACCCCAGTCCAGGTGCTCCACTCTCACCCAGAACCCCATCCCTGGCCCTGCAGCTGCCCCCTGCTCCTCCCTGGGGTGGAGGGAACATGGTTTCTGGGATTTCTGACTCAGGAAAGGGCTCAGGAGGCCACCCATCTGCCCCTCTTCACACCCCAGCAGTAGTCCTACTTAGTGTCAGCTGATGGCCAAGACTAGACTTTCAGAGCCAAAAGCGCTCTCCATGTTGAAGAACTGGCCTTTGGTCAAAGGCATCGCGACCCAGCCCTTTCTCATCCACCCATGCAAGCAGGAGCTCTGGGTGGCGCCTGTTCCCTCCATCCTCTGTGTGGTCCTGCTTTCTCTAATTCTGCCACTAGGGGGCCGTGGTGCTGGGTGGTCCTGTGTCTTCCCTGTTTTTCTTTTTTTTTTTTTAAGAGAGAGGGGAGAGAGAGAGAGAATTTTTAATATTTTATTTTTTTAGTTCTTGGCAGACATACCATCTTTGTTTGTATGTGGTGCTGAGGATCGAACCCAGGCTGCACGCATGCCAGGCGAGCGCGCTACCGCTTGAGCCACATCCCCAGCCCCTTCCCTGTTTTTCTTTCTCTCATAATTTTGGGAGATTTCTTCAGCTTCTCTTAGCCTGTTGTTGTCCTGCCATTACTTCTAGTTTCTAAGAGTCTTTTCCTGTTGCTTTTTGGCAGCATGATGTTCTTTTTTCATGAAAGTGAGGTTATTTCTTGTCTTTTCTCCCCGAGGATATTACAAAGGAATAACAACTTTATTGAGATGCAATTTATGTAACACAAGTCACCCATCTAATGTGAATGATCAGAGAACATTCAAACCTGTGCAGCCATCACTGCTATTCCAGAGCCGTCTCATCAGCCACCCCCCCAAAAAACCCCATCCCCATCAGCAGTCACTCCCACACCTCTCCCAGCCCCTGGCAGCCACTCATGTGTGTCCTGTCCCTGTGGATTCGCCTGTTCAGAATATTTCATGCCAGTGGAAGCACATGCTGTGTGGCCTTTTGTGTAGGGCTCTTGTCACTCAGCATCGTGCTTTTCAGGTTCGTCCGTGCTGTTCCGCCAGGTGACTGCACCACGCTGTGCTGATCCAGGCATCTGTTGATGGGCAGTTGGTGGTTTTCACCTTTTGCCTGTGATGAGTGATGCTGCTGTGAACACTGGAGTCCCCAGCAAGACTCAGCTTGTGCCCTAAGTGTCAGGTCATTTTTATGTGCTCCTCATCTCCATGTAAATGAAGAGGCAGTGAACTACCCTCCTCTGGCTGCAGGACACTGAAACAAAATCCCTCAGGCTGGGCAGCTGTCTAGAGAGGAGCTTAATTTGGCTCATGGTTCTGGAGTGTGGAGTTGGGGCCTGCATCTAGTGACAGCTTTTTGCTGGCAGGTCCTGCAGCAGTGCAAACCGTCCCATATTGAGAAGAGGAGTGTGTGTGTGTGTCTGTTTTCTGGTCTCCCCTTCCACCCAGGACTCAATTGTGGGGGCTCCATCCTGATGCCCTTAACTAACCCTAGTCACTCCCCAGAGGCCACCTGAGGAGCCGCAGGCAGATTCAGTTTCTGTTGTCCATTTACAGTGGGGACCAAACGCCACACAGAAGCCTCGGGGGCCACACTCAGACCTCAATGGCACCAAGGAGTGTCCTCCTGTGCCAGCTGGTCCAGAGGCTCTAAGGCTGCTCCCTGCCGCCCCAGGCTTCCCTACTCCCTGGGCTCCCCCACTCCCCACTGCACCCGGCCCAGCTCTCCTTTTTTGGAGTGGTTTTGGGGGGCACCTCTACCTGGGCTTTCTGGCCAGGGGGTCACTCCATCGGTCACCGCTGCCGAGTCCTCTGACCTGCCCTCCCTCCACTTCTCCTTACAGCAAGCTGTGCCAGCCACAGAGCACCAGTCTGCCTGGAGACCCCGTGGCCGCCAGCCCCCCGGGCGAGCTTGGCAGCTCGGCCTCGCCCCCTCAGGTAGCAGCTGACTGACTGGGTGTGAAGCGCAGGAGGGGGGTGGGTCTCCCCTGTGAGCCAGAGGACCCCTTCTGGCACCCTGTCCGCCTGCCTTGGTGAGGCTCCTGTGCCTGGAGGCTTGGCCACCACTCTGGCCAGCTCTGGCTGCCAAGTCCTGACCCAGGGTCTGGGCGCCCCCGTGTGGCCAGAGGGTGCCTTACAGGCGCTGGGTCTCCCTGGGCCTGGTGCCGCCTGGTGGCTTCTGGGCTCCCTGTGAAATCATCGCCCTTTCTTTGCAGAAACGGCCACAGCCACCTGATTTCATTGACCCCCTGGCCAACAAGAAACCCAGGATATCGCACTTCGCCCAGAGAGCCCAGCCTGCCCTCAACGGGAAACTGAGTGTGCCCAATGGCCGCGAGGCCCTCCTGCCCACCCCGGGGCCACTGACTAGCACGGACACCCTCAGCTCCAGTGCCCATCTGCCTCCGCGACTGGAGCCCCCGCGGGCCCATGACCCCCTGACCGATGTTAGCAATGACCTGGGCCACAGTGGCCAGGACAGTAAGCGCGGGGAGGCCGCTGCCCCCAGCCCTGCCACTCACCTTGGTCTCCCCCTGCTGACGGACTACACCCAGCCCGACAGGCCCCACGACAGGCCCCACGACAGCCCTCACGACAGCCCTGCCCGCAGCAAGCCCAAGAAGAAGTCCAAGAAGCACAAAGACAAGGAGAGGGCGGCTGAGGACAGGCACCGGACCCAGCCGCCAGATCACGCTCCTGCCACCCACAGAGCTCCGCCCGATGCCCCAGGTGGGTGCCCCCACTCGCCCTCACTCACAGGGTGTCATGCAGGTCCAGGCTGCTAGAGTCTGAGGGAGGCTGGCCATGCTGCCCGCAAGGCCCTGTCAGGCTCCCCGGACGTGCAGCCTGTGGCTGCTGTGTCCTAGCGGCTGTTCCTCCGTCTGCCCCTTGGTGTGGGGATTTGGGCAGCCCCCAGGGCTTTCACTGCCCGTGTGCAGGCCACAGATCAGCAGGGAGCAGGGCTCACAGAAGGGGATCAGTGTGGAGAGGAACACGCTGCAGGAGACTGGCTGCTGAGAGGCAGCAGGGGTGCTGGGGGCTGCTGGGGCCCAGGGAAGGAAGTGGAGGGACAGGGAAGCCAGCTCCACCCAGGCAGACCCAGGGTGGAGAGGACAGCACCTGGGCTGTGGTCAGCTTGTGTGGCTTGTGGAGGAGCTGGGTTTGGGCACATGCAGGAAGGATTTAGAAGGCATTGCAGGGTCTCCTGGCAGGGGTGGGAAGCCCTAGGGGACCCAGAAACGGGTTCCTAGCGACAGGACCAGGGGGTGAAACATGCCAGGCCCTGTGCTGAGCAGGGGACCCTCTGGGCCTTGCATGCTGGGCAGGGGCTCAGGCACTGGGCCACACCCGGCCCAACAGAGGAAACTTTGTGATGGGGAATCAGTGTTGGGCCACCAAGGGGTGATGTGGGCCAGCACAGTGCTTTCCAGAAAGGCAGGGCTGGCAGTGAAGTCTTCTATACCTAGTGCCCAAGATCACAGCCCTGGGGACTTGAGCCGAGCAGGCAGTGGCCTGTCCAGCTCAGTGACCCCTGGTTCCTGCTGATTTGTAGAGAGCAGTGTGGACTAGCACAGCGCACCACGCCAGCCTCATTCAGACGCTGAGCAGCCACACGGGGTGGGGCCTCCTAGGGCAGTGGCATCCGAAGTAGCCACCTTGCTCCCCAACACTGGCTGGCCAGGGCAGCCGGGCTGTGCCGCCTGTTGTTACTTCAGCATTGTTTCTCTGGGCATGATCCCAGACGGGGGTTCCTGGGACTGCGGCTTTGATAAGTTGTCCCACTGCACCCGGTAAGGCCACACCTCCCCAGCCTCTGCCAGGAACAGAGGAATAGGAGCCCTGCAGGGTCCTGCCAGGTGCAGGTCAGACCTCTGACAGCTCCTCCCAGGCCCTGGGAGACCCTGTGCGAGCAGCAGGGAGGGGGCGGGGCCAGCGGTGGCTGGAGTGCTGCTGGGCCCTCGTTCCATCCCCAGCGCCAAACAATTAAAAGGGAAGTGAGGCATGGCACCAGCAGCCGTGCCAGCGCAGAGCCCGTTGTGTCCAGGGCCCAGGTTGGTCCGGGTGCGGGGTAGGTCCCAGGGCCCCCGCCCAGGAGCAGAGGACAAACCGGTGGAGAGACGGGAGAGAAGCGGCTGGGTCATGTTCCCAAAGAAGCCCCCTGGCAAGAGCAGCTCAGCAGGCCACGACCAGGGCCTGGGCTTGGCGCAGAGGCCACAGGGTTTGGCAAGGGCCAGACTTCAAGGTCCCTGCTGCCCTGGGTCAGGCTGGCCCTGAGCCTTGGTTTGCCTACTTGTCATCCCACCCGGTGAAAATCTTGAGGGTTAAATGAGCTGGTGCCAGCTGGGCTTGGCATACGGCAGTCACCTGTTCCAGAATGCCCAGGGAGGCCCTGCTCACGCTGCCCGTGGCATGGCAGGAGCATGGGCTACACCATGGCAGAGATGCCTTGCTGGCCACACCCCTCACATGTTGGCACAGCTGTCCAACTCGGGCCTGTGGGCTGAGGATGGCCGTGCGTGGCTCAGGGTGGGAATATCAGCTTAGAGCCCTGCGGAGACTGTTCTGTCCACTTGTGGCCATCCTGGAGGGGACTTTCAGAGGGGTGTGGATACATACCGAGGACGGGCCTGTCCCAAGAGCTGCCCTGCAGCCCTGCAGCCCTGCCTGGATGGGAGCAGAGGGAGTGAGCTCTGGGCCACCTTCAGGCCGTGGGCGCCTCAGGTGCGTCTGGGACCGCGGCTCGGGGAACTTGCTTGTCCTGGCAGACGCCCAGGCCGCTCTCCTCTGATCGGCATTCGCCTTACAGGAGTAGGGCGTGGGTCCCGGAAGGTCCACGGGAAGGGCCAAGAAGTGGTAGGTCACTCTGCCAGGCAGAGCGGTACTTCATCCTTCCCATTCCACACCGCAAAGGGACACACTCATTTCTGTACTGGGAAGGGAGAGCGTGTTCTGGAGAGAAAGGCCCCGGGAAATGAGCCTCATTCTGGTCACAGCATGTGGGTGGGGGTGAGGGTGCCTCTTCTCCCTCCCCTCCCTGGTCTTGGCGGCTTTGGGGTGTCGTGTGAAATGGCCAGGGCAGCACACTGGCCGCCAGGTATGGGTGTGGACTGCATGGTCTTCACTAGGTCCCTTCTGCCTAAAGGGCCGCATGTTGACGATCCCATGTCCCTGAGCTCCACCCCAGGGACCTCCAAGCAGTGTGGCCCCTGCTTCTCCAGCAGAAGCCGCAGCCCAGCACCTGGTCGGAGGAGCAGGATGCGGGGCTGCATCTGTGACCAGAAACCAGGACACCCCGGGACCCAGGCCAGGCAGGGACCATTTGTTTCAGCTCGGTGACCTTTAACCTACTATTAGTAGAAGCAGCAGAGGCCTGGTGCCGTCCAGCTCTGGACAGGGACAGTGACGCAGCCACCCTGACCTGTCAGTTGCTCACTGTAGGTGTCCCTGAGGCAGCATCTGGGCGCACGTGCTCTGTGGGGCTCTGGCCTGGCCTGCCCTCCCCTCAGACCCTCCTGACCTGGCTCCCACCTGGCCTCGGCACAGCACCCGCTCTGCCCTGCCTCTGCGGTATGGGCCTGTCCCAGCCCCGCCCAGGGCAGCGCGGACACCCAGCAGCTGTGCCTTCCTCTTGCAGGTCTGAACGGGACCTGCAGCAGCGCCAGCGTGCCCTCGTCCACATCAGAGACACCAGACTATCTGCTGTGAGTACCTCGGGAGGGGCTCTGCTTCTCTGGGGCCAGTGTCCCCGGCTCCTCAGCTTGGCAGAGACTCCCCTGGCTCCGTGTTTGTTCTGTGAATCCCAGGACACAGCTGTGGCCAGGGTGTCCTGGGATGGCCATTGGTGGCTCTCCTCAGGAGCCCCCTGAGCCCTGATGGCCCATTTCTTTCCTCTCTAGAAAATACGCGGCCATCTCCTCCTCCGAGCAGCGCCAGAGCTACAAGAACGACTTCAACGCTGAGTACAGCGAGTACCGCGACCTGCACGCCCGCATCGAGCAGATCACGCGGCGCTTCACACAGCTGGACGCCCAGCTGCGGCAGCTCTCGCAGGGCTCCGAGGAGTACGAGGTAGGGCCGCCGCCTCCCTCAGCCCTCCCAGGAGTCCCTGCCGAGCCTGTGCCCTGGGGCGGGGGACACACAGGCGTTGCCCTCCCTGGTGTCACACACGGCCAGCGCCAGATAGTAACCAGCCCGTCACAGATGTCCTCACAGATACCTGGGCCCACCGACCCCCTGTGCAGGCAAAAGAGCAAGATGAGCTGAGGCGTGTGGGTCCCCTTCTCAAACCCAGGACCCCACATCATGAGCAGGACTACAGGCCTGGCCCTACCTACAGCCTGTCACCACCGCTGTGATCGCAGAGGGCAGAGGGCACTGAGGGGGTGGAGGCTCCTGTAGCTCCTGGCCCCGGGGCTCAGGAACGTGGCGCCTCCTCCGCAGCAAAAGCATCTCTTGAGGAAGGAAGTTGCTGGCTGGGTGTGGCCTGGTGGCAGGGCGCTAGCTGGCATGAGGACCCTAGGCGCCAGCCCTAGCAGTGCTACAGGAAGAAGTAGCTACTCAGTGCCACTTGTTAAAGCAGGATAAGGAAAAGGGACAGGGCCACCTGGAAGCCACCATAGGCTTGCAAGGGAGCAGGGCTCAGCCTCCACATAGCCCAGGCAGGTGGGGGCCAGAGCAAGGAACGGGCCTCAGAGGATGGAAAATGGCCGAGAGGGAACCTGGGGTGGATTCCGGCCAAACCAACCTGACAGGATTCTTGCTGCCACACGGGGGCTGCTGGGGCTGCGGGACCCTGGGGCGGACCTCACGAGGAAGTGTTCAGGCGGGCTGTGGGAAGGGTCAGGACCTGACAAGTTTGGCTGAGCGACAGCCTCCATCAGGCCCCGCACCCAGTCACCAATTGTCCCCACTTGCCACCTTTCAGAGCTGGTTGCCCGACTGCAGGGCTGGCCCTGGTAAGGGTCAAGGTTTGTGTCCCCTGCCCGAGGTCAGTCTGACTCCAGAGGACTGGAGGGATGATGGGACTCCCTGAGGGCTTGGGACCCACACGCTTCCTGCAGCCCATGTGGCCACTCCACAGCACCCTGTGCCCCGGAACTGTGGACAGACCCCGCTGGGCTTGGGGGAAGGCAGCCGCTCTGCCCCGGAGGCTGCCCCAGCTCCCACAGGGCACGTCCGCCACATGGCCACTGCTCTTTCTGACGCTGTGCAGAGCACCGAGAGGGCGGCTCAGCCTGGCCTCCTTCAGATGCAGACGTGACTCATGTGCTGTTCTGTTGTCCCTCTAGACCACTCGCGGGCAGATTCTGCAGGAATATCGAAAAATCAAAAAGGTGAATAGTCATGTGTTGGGCAGTTGGGGTCAGCCGCACCAGCTTCCAGATGAGTCTGGAGCAGGAGGGTGGATTCCAATCTCTGAACCGCAGGGTGCCTCCTCCACCCAAGGGGCCGAGCCTGTCCTGAGCCTGTCCTGAGCGGAGCTGGTGCCCAAGGTCGAGGGCGGGGGTGGGGGGTCTCGGGGCCCTGTCTTTAGGAAGGGAGCCACCACTGGGCTTGGCTGGGGGGACCCTGCTCTGCTGGTGGACGAGCTGTTGTCTCAGCCTGCAGGGTCCCAGTCCCAGGAGGACCCTCACCTGCTGGGCACAGGCGAGCAGGGGCCACATGCCTGGGCAGCCTCAAGCCCTGGGCGGGCGGCTGACTCCTGCGTGGCTCTCTCTCCAGACCAACACCAACTACAGCCAGGAGAAGCACCGCTGCGAGTACCTGCACAGCAAGCTGGCGCACATCAAGAGGCTCATCGCCGAGTACGACCAGCGGCAGCTGCAGGCCTGGCCCTAGCCGGCACCCTCCACCTCACCGGCCCTCTGGGTGCCAGGGGCTGGGGGGCGCGCGTGGGAGAGAGGATTTATTTAAAACAATAAACACGGGAGATGTACGCATCTGAGCCAGCACCGGCTGTCAGGGAGGCCCTGAGGCCCCGCCACGCTCGCCCAGTGGGGTAGCCCGGGCTCGCCCTGCCTCCCAGCAGTCCCTGCAGGCCAAGCCCACGGAAGCCCACCTTGAGGTCCCACTTCCCCTCTCGCCACAACCGAAGACCGGAGGCCAGCCTGCCTGCCTTTTCTAGTTTTATACAATGTCAGCCACTTTTAGCTACTGCTAGAGACTGAAGTCTATTTTTGTACAAAAGAGAAAGCAAATCTTTTTTTCTAAACCTGTGCCTCCCTCTCCTTGGACATCCAGGGTCTAGATGCTACCCTGTGTCCTTTCCCGCAGTATTAAGACGCCACCGGAAGGCACAGTGCTGGGGACTTCCCAGGAGAATCCGAGCTGGTGGGCCAGGGCCGTGGGCTGGGCAGGGTCTCTGCTCCGAAGCCACCTGCGAGGCTCCGGTCAGGGGGACTCTACCAGCGCCCCTGGAAAGCTGCTCAGAGCCGAGGAGGCCGCGCTCCGGGCCCCGCCCATCCTGCTGTTTCAGGGCCGGGGTGTGTTGTGCTACAAGCGGCAGCACGATGTCCCAAGGTCCTCGGTTTCCCCCTCGCAGCTGCTCTCAGTTCCGAGCCGTCAGGGCCGTGCGGTTTGCGCTGCTGACCGTGCCCTGGCCCTGGCTCCATCCACCTGTGGGTCCTGGGGTTGTGCCAGCAGGGCCACCGCTGGGGCTTGCACTCAGGGAGGGGCTGGGGCCCCGTGGACAGAGCTGCAGGAACCCGAGGACACGCCCTATCTGTCCTCTCTGGGGCACAAGCTCCACAGATAACCCAATTGCTGCTTTGTCGCTGTGCCTAGTCTCTTAGTGTCCCCCAAAGCACTGGGGGACTGTGTGTGTGTGTGTGCGCGTGCGTGCGTGCGCGTGTGTGTATGTGACCCCTCCAAGGTGTGGGGGGCGAGGCGAGTGTTCACTTTCAGGGCCAAGCGAAGCCATGACTCGGGAATGTGGTGGGGGCAGCTGTGACCAGGTCAGTCACGGTGGGGGGCGCTGCCGTCCACAGCAGTGAGGCGGGAGGGCCGGCGGGTAAACACAGATGCGTCTATTTTTCTAAACCGTGGGGGTGTCTCCCAGTGGCTTCCAAAGAGCTGGCGCCTGTGTGGAGGCGCCTGCGTATGTCCCACCCGCCCCAGTGTCTTTCCTTTGGGACCCCTGGGGTCCCCACATCTCTGAGGAAACTGATCCTTCATGTTTCAATAGCTGTTATTTTGTTTGGCATCTGGGGTGGGGAGGGCGGCCCAGGCGGGCTCTGCCCCCTCCCTCGGGGGTGGAAGGACTTGCTGAAGGAGGCCGGCCGCCCTCCACCGCCCCGTTCCAGGTCCCTCTCCTGGGCGTCTGTGGCCTCCTCGGAGGAAGCTGTTCTGCTTCGGGGTTGATGGACGAAAGTTCTAGCTGATTAAAGATGGTCTAACTTATTGATACGTTTTTTTCCTTTAATGTTGTACTGTGGAGAAAAACTATTTTGAGCCATGGAGTTGGTGTTTACAAGAATTTTTCACTTTTGCCAAATGTTACAATTGAAAGGCGTCGCATCTTCAGTCCCCTCGTATTTTCTTAAGCACCTGGTGTCCTTTTTGTACACTCAACACGGGAATGCTGAATTTTTCAACCTACAATAAATTTCACTGAACTGAACCAGCCGCCCCTGGCTGCCTGGCTGGCTTGTGTGTGTGTCACAGCCGGATTCTGTGGTGGCCCCAGGGAGTCCCTGGTCCTGGGCTGGGGGTGGGCTGGGGCCAGGAGGTGACTTGGCCAGGAGCCTGCGTGGTGATGAGGGGTGTCCAGCGGGCAGCCCACGCAACCTCCTGAGGCTACTGGCCAAGAACAAGGGACCAAGACAGTGGCCTCTGCGGGGCCACAGGGCCAGACCCCTCTCCATGAGTGGGAACAGAAGGGGCGGCGGAGCTGGCGCTGAGCACAGTAGTGTCCCCTGCCCAGTCTGGACAGGGCTGCTGAGTGACATGCAGGAGTGGGACCAGGATATTTGGGGGAACAAGCTGTGACTCACCCCATTTCTGGGGAAAACAGCAGCAGGTCGCCTGTGGGTGGGCCCCAGCTCTGTGGGAGGCTGAGGGGGAGGCTGCGCAGCCAGGAGTCCAAAGCTACCCCGGCAGCAGGGCAGATGCCCTCCAAGACACGGAAACCAGCTGTAAAGGAAGCAGTGGCCACGGTGGGGTTCGTTGTGTGCAACTCCAAGGCTGGCACGTGGGGCTGGCTTGTCCCCTGAGCCACCATCCGGGCCTGTGTTCCAGGCGAGGAGCTGGAGGACGCAGGCGCTGGGCCTCCAAGGACAAGGTGGGGGCTGGGGTGTTTATTTTAAAAAGGAAAAACAAAGGCGTGGAGTGCAGGGGCCTGGGGCGGCTGCAGCCTCTTGGCCCGAGTTCTGAGGCGGCCAGGAATCCGCGGGGCGCAGGGGGAGGCCGGCCGGCAGCGAGGCAGAATGTCCCCTGCTTCTAAGATGGTCTGGATCCCGTTCTTCCCGGGGACAACACCCATCTCCACACCTCAGGGCCAGCACCTGCCACCTCTGGCCTTGCTGCTCTGCCTGGACCCCTGGGAGCTCAGAAGGGTGTCTCCTTTCTGGTGACCTGGACACCAAGGCAGGAAAGGCCTGGGGCTACCGCCACACTCCTCCTCCGGCTGGACAACGCTCCTTTCTTCCTACCTCTGTCACCACAGTGACCCTGGTCCACGGGCCCAGTCCCCTCCCTCAGCCTTGCCACCCCACACCCCTACCTTCACCTCCCAGCACCATCTGCCAGGAAGGAGGTGGCCCAGGGCCGAGGCCATGTCGCTTCCCGCCTCCCGTGAGCTCCTGTGAGCTCGTGGGGCTGCCTCCTGCCCCCGCCCAGCCCGCCCTGGGAACGCCAGGCCTGGGGCCTTCCTCATTGCTGCATATGTCCCCATGGTGCCATGCATGGCCTCAAGCTGCAATCATGCCCTCGTCCTCCGATGTCCGACTCCAGGTGAAGAGGCTCAGCGCACAGGCTGCCCCCACTTCAGGCCCCTGGACATTCTCGCTGCTGACAGCTCTGTCCAGCCACAGGCTCTGTTCAGGGGACTCCCAGGACCCCCGCCTTGGGTTGGATGACAGCTCTCAGAACTCGGGACTGGCTGACAGCCACACAGGGGACATACGAAGGGCATGATGGGGCCTTGGACCTCCCTTGCTCTCTCCATCCATGCCACCACCCAGTGCTACCACGAAGGAACCCAAACCTTTCTTAGGGGACTGTGCGGAAGTCTTGGAGGGCCTGCAGTGCCTTTCTTCACCCCGGTAAGGGCCACCACCCTGACTCCTGTGACGAAGGACCACAGAGGTGCTGGAGCAGAGCTCAGTGGCAGAGCAACTGCCTGGCACGCAGGAGGCCCGGCTCCCATCCCCGGAGTAAAGAGAAAGAACAAACTTAGATCAGGGTCTCAGGTGACCAGGAGCCTTCAGAAACAGAATCCAGGGGACACGTCCTGGGCCTGGGCTCCATGAAGCACGGACAGCCATGGAGAAAGGTATTGGACAAAAGTGGCTGTTGTCATGGAAACAGTGGGTCTGGACACCCAGCGAGGCCTGTCCGTCCAGATTCTTCTCGCCTCCTTCTGTGGGGAGTCCTCCCTCCCAGGGATGAGGCAGGACTCCTGAACTGGGATCTTATCTGCTACCAGACCAGGCAGGTCAGAGTCGCAGCTCCGAGGCACTCTCAGTGCTGCGGGTGGGGGAAGACAGGTGCCGTGGGGACAAGCATTCCGGTTGCATGTCAAAATGGCATTTTGGGGGAGCTGGGTTCTGAGCCCCAGTGGTGTGGTTGCATAGATGTGACTGGTTAATCTAATTTATGTCTCATGATGTGTGACTGAGCTGGAATCTCCCAGAAGCCAGGGAGACACCAGATGTTCTCCTAGCAGCCCCTGGGGTCAGCATGGTCTCCAGACTGGTGCCTGCCTTCCACTGCCACCTTGTCATCAGAGTGGGAGCCCCTTCCCCAAGGCTTTTAGGTGACTCAGGCACCTGCTTATAGTCTTCTCCGGGTGAACTCCTCTTCATGCCTCAAAACCCCTTCCACCAGCCACTTCCTCTGGAAACCCTGCTCTGTAGAGCCTCCTCCGTGAGTTCCTTTCAACTGGAGGTGCCCCGGTCCTGGTCCCCTTCATACTTCAGAGTCGGGCCCTTTCCAAGAGCCAGACTCTTGGAGCCCCCAGTCCCCAAGACCAGGCCCCGGCTGCCTTTCCTGCAAACATTCCCAAACTCCCCACCTTTTGGGCCAGCTCCAGTGGTGGAAACTTTCCGGCTGGCTTGTTTTGGAAAGTTCCTTGGGGGAGCCGCCCCCGCTTGCCCGCTGGGTTCCCACGCTCCCTTATCACTGTGCATGAGGGGGGCCTCTGGTGTGCTGTCCCGGCTCCTCCCCACACTGGCGGTCCTCTCTCCTCCCTAGTGACCGGCCATGTCTCCAGCCCGCTACTCCTCATGCATGTGAAACTCCGCTGAGGCAGAGGAAATTTGGTCCACCCGCTCCGGGTTCATGGGGCCCAAAGATTCGGAGCACTGAGTGGGGGCCACCGCTCATAAAGGAGGGCCTGGCTTCGAGGTCTGTTTCCCGGGCAGTACTGCAGACCCGGGCCCCTCCCTCCACAGCCGCAGCCTCCCTGCGCAGCCCCATCCTCCAGCTTGTGGCCGGGGTCTGGGGCTCCATTGTAGCCCCATGGTCCTCTTTTGTAAAATGGGAATAAGCGGCTGCGTGTCCAGAGGACCCCTAGAGAAGAGAACCAATGCCGCCCAGTGGTGACCCGGCCGCTTCCGGCCGGACCGGGCCTCGACAGTTCGGCCTAGAACCCCTGCTCCCGCCGTCGCGCCCCTCCCCAACAAGGCGCAAGCGGGGGCGGGGCGGGGGGCGGGGCCGCGGCGCTTTTCTCCCGAGGCCGCCCCGGAGCCCGCGCTGTCCGCCGCCGCTGTCGGAGCTGACTCCTCGGAGGTGAGCGAGGTCTTGGACGGATTGGGGGCTTCTTGAGGACCCAGGCCGGCTTGGGCCGGTCACCTGGGGTCCCCGCTGACCCTCTGCTAACCCGGGCCCCAGGTCGCCGCGATGGAGGCAGCCCCCCAGTTCGTGGTCGAGAGCCCGGACGTGGTCTACAGCCCCGAGGCCATCGAGGCTCAGTACGAGTACCGGACGACGCGCGTCAGCCGTGAGGGCGGTGTCCTCAAGGTGGGCGAGGGGTCCAGGAGCCTTGGGTTGGGGACACCAGGGAGATGATGGCGGGGGATTGTCCAACATCCCCAACCCTTTCCCTGCCTTGAGGGAAGAAGAGGCTGGGGCCCCAGTCTTACGACGCCGCCTGCCCCCAGGTGCGCCCCACGTCCACGCGCTTCACCTTCCGGACTGCCCGGCAGGTGCCCCGGCTCGGGGTCATGCTCGTCGGCTGGGGCGGGAACAACGGCTCCACGCTGACCGCCGCCGTGCTGGCCAACCGACTGCGCCTGTCCTGGCCCACGCGCGC